GCATTAGATTTTCCAACTAAAATACATAACACGTAACCTCACTAACCTAAACGTAACATATTTTTTTTTTTACGTGGAGGAAATCTTCTTAAAAGACAATGTCTTTTTTTGTTTTTCGCCCGAACAGGGGGCCTCGAACCCTGGACCCTCAGATTAACAGTCTGTTGCTTTACCGACTGAGCTATCCCCACCTCAACTTAAACCTAACCTAAACCTAACCAAAACAATTACATTCACCTGGATGAATAATATTCTAACTATCAGTAATTCTGTCTGTATCTCGAAAACGAAGGACGAATCGATCCACGATGTGTAATAAAACATGTCTTACCCAAAATGACTTTCCAAATATATCGTCTAAAAAATCTAACGATTGAGATCTGAAACATCCATCCTGTGTACACACATATTGAAAAAAGGACTTTTCAAAGTATTAATTATCACAAACAGCAAGAATCGATATAAAAATGATAAAAGTAATGGAAGAAAATCATCTCTTTGCTGCATCGAAAATCAAATTCATCGTACAACGACGATCATCAGTTGATTCGTCGATCTTTCCACTACATGCACGACATACATTGTGACGTTGTTGCTCGATGAATTGGAGCAAATCTTGATCGTTTAGCGATTTAGTAAGAAATCGATGGTCCGATGGCGGATCAAAACGTATGAAAATTATTGTTGGTTGCGCAACGTCGTTCGAGTTTTCTTTCGCCACGGTGTCCCGACGTCACTTTCTCTTCACCCGTGGAAAATTATCACGTTCCGCAATTTCCGCCGGACCCGCGCCAACGCCGCGCGTATCCGGTTGGAATGTAAGCGGACAGATTGGCGCGCAGGTGGTAGAGGTGTGACCGAGCGCTGAAACACCGGCGATTTTGCAACAATCGGCCGATCAGAGGTGTTGCAGCTACCCAAACACAGTCGTAGAATATCCAGCGAAAACGTTTTCGCTCGACTCGCTTTCCACCTGCCGCGATATTTATAGAAACACACTCGTTTATCCGAACGAATCGTTGAATCAGATGTGTAAGATACTTTGAAAGGTATCCGAAC